TCCCTCCCCCAAACATGGTCACCTTTTGTGTGTTTGTGGAAAAATATGAGATTTGCAGGCGGAAGAACCCGTTCAGTGTCAAAGTGATTAATAGTTGGCTGTATTCAGCTTTGACCATGAGTCAATGAATGAAAGGTGGAAGTGATGCAATGTCTGTGTACCTGTAAACCCCCGCTCCCCTCCCCTCCCCTCCCTCGGCAGCACGCGCGCGCGCACACACGCCAACCTGGTGRTAGTAGGCTTGGGTGGAGCAGCGGCGTCGCGTGCTGCGGAATACGCGCTCTCCACGCAGCGGCTCGTTAAAGACCGTGCGGCGCGCAGGTTGGTTGTGGCTGCAGTAGATGCGGGTCGAGCGAGGGCGCGTGCGGCGGTGCGCCTCGTGAGGGCACAGTGAGAACACCGGGAGGGGGAAAGGCAAAGGCGAGCTCGAGGACACTCAGAGGAGGAGAGGAGGAGGTGAGCCATGGAGGACTCGGAGCCCGCAGAGGACGGCTTGCTCGCGGGTTTGCGGTGGAACAGGAGCGCGCGAGACCAAGCGCAGCTCAAACACAAAATCCGGGACCTGCCGGGGCTGCTGAAGCACGGGCTGCACCTGCGGAAGAAGAGCGTGAGTATTTCAACCCGTCCTTCCGTGTTGGTGGGTGTTTGATTAAACCCGAACAGCGCTTTATCTGCTTGACACTTTGTACTCTGAGGCCGTTTCGTAACCTCGTCACGACTCAGGTGTTTCCTTTTTTTATTTTCTTCAAACAATGCTGTCGCAGTGGCAACCTGCGTTTTTCTTAAATGTGAACAACTGGTGTGTTTGTGTTTGTGTGTGTGTTACGTGCACAATGACCAGCAGAGGTGTTGGACACCATACCTTTACAGTCCTGTAGGCAAGCCCCCCACCCCCGCCCCCAACAAGACACCTACACTGAGAATTAGGACGTAATTAATTTTTTCATAAGTGCAGTTTTTATTTTTGCAATTTAAATGCATTGCAAACCATAACATAAAGCATATCCTGAAATCTATTAAGTGGTGCAGTTTAGTTTTCCCGATGTGTTGAGGTGCAGTTTTAAAATGCGGGTACGCGCTCAATGTAAACAAAGCACTCGGGTGAATCTGCACTGGCCATAGTCCATAAACAAACATGCTGGAATCAGACAAGTRGATTTCAGAGAAGCTGTGCAGGTGGAAGGACAGGAGAACCAGCTGCTAAACATGAAACAAAAGACAAGTTTGATTAAAACAACTAAGTGTTAAAAACAGGCGGTGGAGCACCGTAACGACAGAGCTCATACAAACATATGTGGCTTTTGTGAAACGATTTCTAGAGCAACGGTTCTGAATTATTTTCTGTCATGTCCCAATTTTTTTCCCAAGCTCCTGTGCATCATCTTTTATAGATATTTTTATTTTCTCCAGTAAATCTAACAAATGTGCTATTTGTCAAACAAGCATATTTCTGCTGAGCAAGTGTCCTTTAGGACCTTTGATTCCCCCCCCCCCTTTTAAAAACTGGTCAACACACTTAGCGTGCCTCCATGTTGGGGAAAAACACCTGACAAGCCGAAAGGCTGTTTTAAGTGTCGTCTCTGCTCTTCTTTCTCAGATGAAGCCGCTTCGATACAAATCCCACATTCCCATAGTGGGAATCCACGAGGCAGCGAGCCAGGACTTCCTGTCCCAAAGGAGCCAGATGTGCTAAAAATATGCAACATTTCTGGTGTAAAATCCACAGAGAGCTGCTTGTGTCACGTTACATTTGCTTATTTGAAGTGATTGATGCTTGAATGGGCAGCAGATTGAGGCCACTCTGTGTTCTGCTGGTAACATGATCGAATTATCTGCTTGGAATAAATCACAGATATTATATCTTAAAACAAACGTCCAGAGGAGGAAAAACAACAAGATTAATAAACACTGAAAACAGCTCCGTGAATAAAAAGTTGAGCATATTTTTCATAGCATCTGAGCAACAAAAGGTAGTTAAGATTAAATTAATTTCTTTGTACTTTCTCCATAWGTTTTGGGATTGTGCAGATGAGTGCAATGAGGCGCAGGTTAAGTAGTGCGAAGGTATGGCTGCTTTGTGCAAACTGGTCTCCAGACGCTGGTAGTTGGCTATGCTTCACTTGGCTAACACACAAAAACAGTTATATAAAGTTAAAAAAAGAGGAAAGATATAGCGGAAATAACTGGCTGTGACTTTTTAAGTTACATAACCCTAATAAAAGTTCAAACATATTTTGCAGCAGCTTATTTTTCAAACAAAGTAATATAAGCGGATTTAACAACACTTTTACACAACTTGAGAGTCCGACTCCTATGCATGTATCATGTCTGTTCGTTAAAAGCACAAAGCTTATGATATAAGCAGCGTCTCACGTTACCTCTTGCGCTTCATAGCTGTTTGCATGCAGCGCACTGACTGAATCAAAACAGCGTTTTGTTGCAGAAAGCCATCGCTTTCCCAGCCTCCAGCCGTCTCATGTTGGAGAGTCCTGTTTCAGATTAATCTCTGTTGTGACTTGCTTTGGTAGACAGTTTTTTAAGTCCTGATTGGCTGCAGTGYGAAAGGCACATTAAGGATTTGCTAAAACTTGAGTTTTGAACTTTTACGACGCTTGCCAAGGCGCTTCGCCTTCCCGTTGAGCTGGATGGCTCAAAGCAAGAAAAACCCGGTTAACTTTCTTTCCTCGTTCCTCAGATTTCAGCTTGGTTAGGTGTCGGATTTAAAAGTTAATGGTCTGACAGTTTTTCCTGAAAAAAAATCTCATGCTGATATATGATAGATTATATTACAGGTTAAATAATAACAMATCCTTCAATGTGGGGAAATGTAAGAATGTGAAGGATTAACATGTCCACAGCATGATGAGCTGAGCTGAGAGAGAGAATTTTATTCTACTGACATCCTCAAGACCAGAGGTGGGCAAGTTAAATGATGGGAGGGGCCACAATTTTTTATTGGCACTACCAGAAGGCCACATAGCGCTGCACACTTACACAAATRTAACAAAACTGCCATTTTAAAAATGYTTSTATATATATGTTTATTAAACCAACATACAGTGGAATAACTTCACATATTTCATACTCAAATGCACGTATAACATTTGCACCCTTTAATAAAYATGAATACAAACCGTTTGAAGCAAACAAAATACCATAAGGCACCTTGAGTGTAAACTCCTGGTAAAAAGGTTGCTGTTTATTTATTTGCAACATCAGTRAACCTCTCATATTTAGCTTTGTGCAACATGTTGTAGTGACAACTTCTATTAAAATCCTTCACAGCAGACAGCGTCTCTAAGCAGACTAAACACWGRTTTGCSTTGAAATTCTGTGAAGATATTCTACCCCACCCCATCAAAAAAACTGTCTAAGCTTTGAGTGCATTTTTCAAGTACAAAAAAATAAATATAGCTCTTCATTGTGGCCCAGATGAAAGTCAYCCACAGGCCGAATGTGGCCTGTGAACCATCAGTTGCCCATCCCTGCTCAACACTAACTAAATAACTAATAAAATTAAGAAAATATAATCTTTTTTAATGGAAAATACTGAAATAATCAGTCTAAATGTGGTTTGAATCTCTCTTTGAGGATAGTGTTGAAAACAGAAAAACGTTAAATTCATTTGATTTTTTTAAAACCCTCAAATTGTAGTAGCAGAAGTCAGCATATAAACTCATATTTTTCCAAGTAAAACATYACATTTGAACTTACTGAAAGGTTTACATCAGTTAATGAAAAACAAAAATATTAATAAAACCACTAACGACATTTAAAACCATAGCTGCACTTTTTAAATATCAAGTAAATGTGGTTGTTTTGTTGATGAGCCTCTGTGTGTGTATGATTTGTTCCAGTCATTACCCACCGTCTTAATATTTCTGCTCACCCCCGTGTCTCCAGAATAGCTGTGACTCATCAAGGCATTGACACTATCTTTTGATGTGGCAACACTAAAGTGTTTGTAGCACATTTTGCTGGGGTTGAACCCCTTGATAGATCATCCCATGGACGYTTGATTGGATTGAATCTGAGGAGATTAACAGATGAGTTAACCCCTGCATTGTTTTTGTCATATTTCTGAATTCAGAGCAAGCTGATGCGATGGGACTGAGAAGTGCGTGTTCTGCAAAAGCACTTTGAGGGTTATAAAAGTCAAAGTAATGTGCACAATTATGGCAGAACCAAATGTTTACTGGAAGAACCATCATTGCGAGGATATAATCAGAGTAATTCATTCCACCTCCAGACAGTTCAGAGGTTTTAGTTGATCTTTGAAAATATTTTTCCTTTTATAAAACTCAAGTTAGACACTCGGATTGAGATAMACTTGTTTATGTTTGTAGTCCTCCATCTAACGTTTCTTAATCTCGCCCCTTTTATCTCTGAAGGATTAACAGCAGTTAACAGCTTTAGTGACTGAAGAGGCAGATCAGAACACTGCAATTAACAAATCTCTACTCACAAACTTTAAACAGGTCCTCTGTTTAAAGTAGTTYTTGTTTAAAGCATTTGTTCAGCCACCAGCAGACGACACGGGTTTGAAATTTACATACATCCAATCACGTGTGCAAGCAAAATTCAAATCCTGTGACCACTACTTTCCAAATCGTTCTTGTGAGTTAAAGCTTAAATAGAAACCGAGACATGCAAGCAAACTTATTCACTGTGTAACTTTGTAAAAATGTAATATTGATTGTTTTAGGTCATCTGATGATATTCTTAAAAAAAAACTCACAGTGAGAGTTTGGCATATTTTTCCAGAAGATTATTTAATTTCCCCCAAGATCATCCAATTTTTGCAAGAACGATGCAGCAAAACGGCAGATTTGGATGCATGTTTGTGTGTCGCCCATTGACATTTTTCATCTGTAACTTAGTTATAGACAGAYGAAAGATCAAAGGAAAGATAACAGGACAAGTGTGGGGTGGAAATGATTCAAACTCATTACTCTGAGATGCATGAAGGTCAGACATTATCACATTTAAAGCTGGCAAGGTGGTGATTGGATGGAAAAGTTGCAGAATGTTGTAGGCAATGATGCAACAAAGAGATACACAAWTTTTAAATTTGTAATTATTATTTGAATATAATTTAAATGCACTAATGAAACTGTGTTGTGTTTGAGGGAATTTACAAAAACTAATTCTGGAAAAGTTGGGATGTGTGAGATATTTGCAAATCTCCAAAAACTCATTATTACATAAATTCTAAATAAAATTCCCCCTCAAAATGTACAAATTCTTAAGTCTGAATTTATGCTTACTGTGTTCCAGTGTGAAGAAAATATGGGATTATGAAAATTGCAAATCATTGGATTCTGTTTTTATTTATGTTTTACACATCTCACTTTTTTTCAGAATTAAGGTTTAATTTCCTAATAATGAATTTGTGGYACAGGAAAAGAAAAGGGCAGGTGCTTGCTTTGACAAACACTGATGGGTATTGTATCCTATAGATTTATTAAAACTGTTATTGTGGATATCGGTGCTTGATTACTGTCCAGACAGTTTAATCTCAGATTGCTTCGTTAACTCCTAATATCAGCAGCAAAATGAGGTAGATGAAAAGTTGTGCTGGTGAGTTTTCTAAGTTTTTCTGAGTGT